GCTCTGCTTAACAGAACTTGCAACGCTCTGTAACAGAACTTGCAACGCTCTGTAACAGAACTTGCAACGCTCTGTAACAGAACTTGCAACGCTCTGTAACAGAACTTGCAACGCTCTGTAACAGAACTTGCACTGCTCTGTAACAGAACTTGCAACGCTCTGTAACAGAACTTGCACTGCTCTGTAACAGGCTCAGGTTCTGAGGATGTCGTGGGTAATTCTTATGATGTAAAGTAAAACAATTTTCATGGGTATCATTTCAATTTTAGATTGTGTTGAGGCAAAATCGTGTTGAAGCATTTGAAACTTTCTCTAGCTATGTATGGGCAACGTTTAAACATAAAAAAGCGCTAAAAGCTAAATGATGCAAAAATTCTGGTTTTAAAATAAATTGGGGAAGCGTTTCAGCCCCATTCAATGACACAAAAATAAGAATGAGATGCGAAAAAGGATTTCCGTTTCCGAGTAATGTGGGACTTAGCATCACATTTCATGATACTGATGTGACTTTTTCAAAGCAAACCTCAAGTGGAAAATGGCGACTTCCGCACGGTTCATGGTTTTATCGTAAACTAAAATATCATTTTAGAGGGACACAAATACGTGGTATGTATCTGTGTCCCGCATTGCTTCTGCAATCTGTAGCTATAAGAGGTAATTTGTTGTTTTAAGCGAATAATCTCTGTAGCCACAATTAGGGTGCCAACCAAAAATGTTTAAGATTTTTGCTGGTCTCATGGTCCAGATTTATTCAGCTACACAGGCAGTGGGCATATAAACCTGAAATTTAACAATCCTGCTGTGTTTACTGGTCGCTACACGGATTGAGTTGAAGTTTGTTATCACAGAAATATCACGATCTGCAGCAGCATCATTGATAATTTTCCTGCACTTCTTGACAACTGATGCAGTAATGTTCAATGCTGTTCCAGGTGTCAGGCTACTGCTGCATGTAGGAAGTCAGTTTCAAGTTGCATTGCCTAAAAAATCTTTCTCGGAATAAACGTTTCATAAATTCAATTTTAATAACGATTTTTTTTTATTTTTCGTCACAATCTGCATGATGTATAAATTTTTTCTTTTTGTTATCCTAGTGTCAAATTATTTCTTCTCTTTAATAAAACTATCAATTGAACTTTTTTGTTAAACATATAATTTTGTACTTATAATTTGAAATTTTATTTTCCCCATCTAAATATTAACAATTTCCAGAAATATTATTGTTATATATAATAACCGCATGCTATAAAAAAGTAAAGATTCTCCACAATTGAACCTATTTTGAACCTATTACACACACTTCTCGTCACCGGATGTGAGAAAAAAATATTGGTACAGTGATTAAATATTTTTAGTTGCTGTATCAATAGTATTGATCAATACATATTGATCACTATACTGAACGGATGTTTTAAAAACGTTATATTTATTAATGGTGTTGACTGCACGTGAAGAGCACGCGGTGGATTCAAGTCGCCGGAAAGTTAAAGTGTGCGAGGTTTCGTTCACGTTTTATAAATGAAATTATAAAATAATGTTAGTAGATAGTAAGCTGATTATTACGGGCATTCAGCTTCTTATTCGTAACTACATCTCGTTTGAATTAAGTCGAGATTTTGCATATTCAAAAGAAATCAAAATGACAGGAAGACGATTTAAGTGATTGATTGCGGGGTTATGAGTTACGAATCAAGAAAAATATATCATTTGCGACAATTTTTTCTTCACAGTAATGTCACTCATAGTCATAGGACGTAGAGAGGACCATCTGGTCAGGTTAGTCATGCCCTTAAACTTCTTTTATATGATAAGGACAGGAATTTAAAATATAGTTGTAACGGTATCGGTTAACTCTCCCCACATATCAATGTCTAGCTTATTGAATAGAATAGAATACATCAAACATTTGCCTATTCTTCAGCGCCCTTGTGAATCAAGTCACGAAAAATTCAAGAATCGGCAACAGGCCATGGGCCTATTTTCTTCAATACTAACACTTCTATTCTAGTCTAAGACATGCTGAGCAGGTCGGTTGGACCCAGTTCAAGTCACCGGGCGAGAACGCGACAGGTTCTATGGTGTAATGGTTAGCACTCTGGACTTTGAATCCAGCGATCCGAGTTCGAGTCTCGGTAGAACCTGCACATTTTGTTCATAAGCCTTTACTCAGAATAAATTTCTTATGTGTAGGAGTAGAAGCTACACATGTATTAAAGCGCGGGTTATTAATAAGTATTCATCTTCGTACATCACTACAAACATTGACCAGGTAAACGTCCGTTCTGAAAGATGTAGACACGAAGAGATAAACGTGCCACTTCATGCATTAATGCCGAGAATTATTTTCTGAATTTTTGGGGGCTTCCGGTGAGAATATTATCACTTGTGATGGCAATAAATAAAAAAATATGTTCAAATAATTATTTTTCCTTCTATGTGAAAAATTATAGCTTGCTTCAATTTGTAACCGGGCTAAATATTTCATGATCTAAATGACTTAAATTCTGCATCTAACTCATAAATAATATTTTTAGATTACTCACGTTTCTCCGCAATGATATCAAGCCGTCCTGTCTGACACCTGGTTCTTATAATCTTTAAATGTTAACTGAACAGAGAATTATCGGCGCAGCAGAACGACACGTTGCCAGAACATGTACAAGATCTGTATCAAACCTACGCATCCACTTGTATATTTATTTGCTCATACAATTTTATTACGAATCCATTTTTCTCCGCCGGTTACAAATTGAACCGCTCGGCATTAATGGGTTAAGAAAATGAATCATGAGTAGTTTACCGAGATAGTTCAGGGCCGATGCTGACATTTTGATCTACTTGAAGTAAATCTTTGTTTTGTGGCCACAAGAAAAAGCTACCTCTGCGCGCGGCAGAGTTGTTCCGCTGACAGAAACGCACGACAAGGTCTCAACCATGAGCCATTCGAAGCTCGGCTATTTATAACAATTCTCAACATTTCTCATACTAATTTCTATGACACTTGGTAACAATTCCTGGTTGTTATGCGTAGTTCTTCGTTAAATTTAAAAGAGGAGACTTCGCCATGGCATGTGGACAAACTATATATACGTCAATATATTCTCACGCCGTGGTGGACCATCAAACTTTCTTGTAAACTGAGTGCAAAAGTCTTGATGGATTGTTCACATCGCGCTCAAATAAGGCAAAATTATTCATCTCTTACCGAATTTATAACACAATTTTGATATAATTTGTGTTGTTTTAATAAAGATATTAAAATACACAGCAACATCTCAGAAGTGGCCTCATAAAATGATCGAAGAGCTGACGAAAAAATTTCTTCGATCCTCAGCATTGAAGCTGTTGCGCCACAACATGCGGGTAGCTGAGCTATCATTGTTTGAGAAGAAGATAACAACTGACTTAACTTCACCAGCTTTGAAATGAGTAAAAATATAGTAATATATCAAAGTACGAGTGATTGTAACAGCTGTAAGAAAAAGAACCGACCTTCCCAGGGGTCGAACCTGGAATCTTCCGCTCCGTAGGCGGACGCGTTATCCATTGCGCCAGAAGGCCTTGGTACATGGCGGCGGCCGTGGCACTACACACTGGGCCGTGGTGGCAGTCTGCCACTGGTAGCACTAGTGCCACTACAGCACCAGGGTACCCAATTGTCGTAATAAAGAACTAGTGGAACTAGTATAGAACGTAATATAGAACTTTCATAACAGAACTATCAAGATGTAATGTGGTCCAGCTCCGGACCACATTACATTGTCAGCCTCTATGTCAGGGGTCTCCAAACTATGGCCCGCGGGCCACATCCGGCCCGCCCCACAATTTCATCCGGCCCGCGGCCCGCCGGATGAAATCGTGGAATTAATAAATCATTAATGTACGAATGGCATCGCAGAATTATTCAAAGCTGGGGCCTGCTGACTGGTGGCGCTCAGCCTGAGTCACTCTTCCTCTCTCTCGATAGTGTGACGTACAGATACTAGTGCTAGTAAGTATGTGATATGCATTACAACCAATCAATCGTGTATAACTGTATATTGTGGGGATGGAGGCCGATAGTGGGGCGTTGCTGCTTCCGTTTCAGGGAGCACAGCTCTTTCGTAATCCATTTGACTGCAATGCTGAAAATCTTCCAACTCAATTTCAAATGGAAATTATTGATCTCCGGGCAGATGACAGACTGACGGATAAGTATCGAGAAGGAAATCTGATTGAGTTCTATAAATGCCTACAGCCAGATCAGTTTCCAAATTTGATAAAGTTTGCTTGTAGTTTTGTGTCCATTTTTCGTTCAACATACTTGTGTGAACAAACATTTTCCAAAATGAAGTATGTGAAATCTAACTATCAAGCAAATTTGTCTGATGATCACTTGAAATCAATTCTTACAATTGGCTCATCTAATCTGAAACCGGATTTTAATGAAATTTTGAAGTCAAAACGACAGCATCATTCGTCACTCTAATTTGGTTAAATAAAACTAAAGACAAGCATCTATTTAGTTTACCCTGATTTTTTACAAAAATATATGTTTTAAATTTTCCATGGTTATACCTTAATATTTAGGCAAATAAAATTACTGGCACTGATTTTTTTTATTCATTCGGCCCGCATAAATATTGGAAATATATAATGTGGCCCGCAGTGTGAAAAGTTTGGAGACCCCTGCTCTATGTAATAGCCAATACGTACGGGCCTGACCACTGCTGTTCTATGATGTAAGTGCAACGTACGTTCCTTACCTTTCCTAATCTTAGTTGTTTGCTAATATATAATATTTCTGTTACTAATTATTATTTTTTATGTTGTTCTGTGTTGCGTTTATAAGTATTTTGAATTAGTTCGTATAGCAAAGCTTGCATTACTCAAATTTCTTCCCTCCCTGACCTTTAAACAATTTATTCAACAACATCAACAACATTCGTGTAATAATGCTCGCTCACTTCTATTGACTCGCTCACTCTCGTCAACTCGCTCATTTCTGTCGACTCGCTCACTCTCGTTGGCACGCTCATTTCTGTCGACTCGCTCACTCTCGTTGGCTCGCTCATTTCTGTCGACTCGCTCACTCTCGTTGGCTCGCTCATTTCTGTCGACTCGCTCACTCTCGTTGGCTCGCTCACTTCCGTCGACTCGCTTCATCTTATTCCTTCACTCACGAAATCGAATACTCACTACAACTATACTCATGTCCTGTACGCTCACTCTCGTTGACTCGCTCACTCTCATTGACTCGCTCACTCTCATTGACTCGCTCACTCTCATTGACTCGCTCACTCTCATTGACTCGCTCACTCTCATTGACTCGCTCACTCTCATTGACTCGCTCACTCTCATTGACTCGCTCACTCTCATTGACTCGCTCACTCTCATTGACTCGCTCACTCTCATTGACTCGCTCACTCTCATTGACTCGCTCACTCTCATTGACTCGCTCGCTCTCGTCGACTCGCTCACTCTGTCGCCAACTCGCTCACTCTCGTCGACTCACTCTCTCGTCGACTCACTCACTCTCTCGTCGACTCGCTCACTCTCTCGTCGACTCACTCACTCTCGTCGACTCGCTCACTCTCTCGTCGGCTCTCTCACTCACTTTCGTCGACTCGCTCACTCTCTCGTCGATTCGCTCACTCTCTCGTCGACTCGCTCACTCATGTCGACTCGCTCACTCTCTCGTCGACTCGCTCACTCTCTCGTCGACTCACTCACTCTCGTCGACTCGCTCACTCTCTCGTCGGCTCGACTCGCTCACTTTTGTCGACTCGATCACTCTTTCGTCGATTCGCTCACTCTCTCGTCGACTCGCTCACTCATGTCGACTCGCTCACTCTCTCTCGTCGACTCGCTCACTCTCTCTCTCTCTCGTCGACTCGTTCACTCTCTCGTCGCCTCTCTCACTCACGTCACCTCTCCCCTCCCCCCGCCACGCCAGCGTCGCGTGTTACCATGACGACGGCCGGACCAGCCGTCCGGACGGCCAAAATGATCGAGCTCGCTGCCGTGACCAGGATTCGAACCTGGGTTATTGCGGCCACAACGCAATGTACTAACCACTATACGATCACGGCCGGCCGGCTCATGATGACGCATGTAACTTGCACCGAGACATTCCGAGACAGACATGGTAGAGTCGAAACGACTCGAGACTTGGAGGAACAGACATGGTAGAGTCGAGACGACTCGAGACTTGGAGGAACAGACATGGTAGAGTCGAGACGACTCGAGACTTGGAGGAACAGACATGGCGAGACGACTCGAGACTTGGAGGAACAGACATGGCAGAGTCGAGACGACGCGAGACTTGGAGGAACAGACATGGCAGAGTCGAGACGACGCGAGACTTGGAGGAACAGACATGGTAGAGTCGAGACGACTCGAGACTTGCAGGAACAGAAATGGTAGAGTCGAGACGACTCGAGACTTGGAGGAACAGACATAGCAGAGTCGAGACGACTCGAGACTTGGAGGAACAGACATGGCAGAGTCGAGACGACGCGAGACTTGCAGGAACAGACATGGCAGAGTCGAGACGACGCGAGACGTGGAACCGAGCCATGATGTACAGGCACATCCGTTATGTATAACCCAAATTTGTGCATAAAATGAATATAAAAGACTATATGACCATAAAAAATCATAAAACAGTACAAATATCAAACATTATCTCATATTCAGTCTTCCAATTCGAGAAATAATGTCATATTTCAGAGGCAGCAGCTACATCGTTGAAGTCAGCATTGGGATCAGTCAGTAGCTACATCGCAATAAGACAAGCCGTCAGGTATGATAAACATTAAACTGTTAACACTAAATTGTCAATACATATTGCTATTGTGCCTTTAACATCAATGAAATATTCGTTCTTATCCTTAGTATCGGTAATATGAGTTCGGGATGTAGCATTCCCAGGCCACGCTAGAGCGCCTAAAATCTAAATCAAGCAACTGGATGACTTTTGAAGGGCATGCATCGCACCTGTCAAGAAAGAGGGAGAGGAGGGGACAGCTAGGGAGGTACCTTACCCGTTCAAGGTATCGCAGACAGCGCGTCTCCCATGCAATGTGGTATTGGCGATGCGTAAAATTGTGTCCTGGGCCCATAATAGTCATCTGGGCCCACAATAGTCCCCTGAGCCCACAATAGTCCCCTGAGCCCACAATAGTCCCCTGGGCCCACAATAGTCATCTGGGCCAACAACATTACCCAGGGCCCAAAACATTACCCAGTTCCCCAGTGGTTGAGGCTCAGTGGCCCATACGAGTTACGGGCCTGACGAGATAACGGGAGATAAGGTATCTGAGCCTATGCAGGCTGATGTTAACATGCCACATCCAGATGATATATACTGATGCAGTTCGTATCAGAAGCACATTTATTGTCTACGCAATATCCATGGTTGAGAACACTTTAATTAATACTAATATCATCTATCGCAGGAAACATTGCTCTTGAATATTAGCCAGATAATTCAACCAACATAACGATGACTTAAATATCAATAACGATTTGGTTTTAAAAATCAATTGGTTATAAATGTTAATCTAAAAATCTGCAGTCTTGATAATACGATTGATTATTGCACAAACTCACGATGGACAGTTTAATCTAATTGAGAACAAAAGTCTCTGCCCAGACCCGGGATCGAACCGGGGACCTTTAGATCTTCAGTCTAACGCTCTCCCAACTGAGCTATCTAGGCTGCTATTATAACAGGCCATAGACCAATAAGTTCACAGGAATTAAATCCTGTGAATTTGATTAAATGTTTACAATACTTCATCATTTCCTGATTGGGAAACTTTATGAGCGTCGAGAAGTAAGTCGTACAAACAACAGCTAATTTTTCACCTGATCTTACGACCTTCTACATATATTACCTCGCGTATTAGATACATACGAATTACATACTCCAAATAACTCAAAATTCAAGCTTAGAAAATAAATAAATTATAATTTTAATAACAAGTAACCACAAAAAGAACCCCGTCATCTGAACTGTAATTACCAGTTATTTACACTCCACTCATGGCAGTGCTGCACCAACTTCAATGCACACACCACAATCGGAATCATTGCAATGATCTTCACATTTTTTAGTAGAACTCATTTAAAATTCATGTCATTGCCCCCAGTGAGGTTTGAACTCACGACCCCTGGTTTACAAGACCAGTGCTCTACCACTGAGCTATAGAGGCGCATGTCATGCATACACCTGCACATTTTTTTTATTTCAGTTACTCATGAATGCAATGGGAAGAACAAATAATGCTACATCTCCATTAGATGGCTCACATGGCAGGCATCATCTCCATTAGATGGCTCACATGGCAGGCATCATCTCCATTAGATGGCTCACATGGCGGGCATCATCTCCATTAGATGGCTCGCATGGCGGGCATCATCTCCATTAGATGGCTCACATGGCGGGCATCATCTCCATTAGATGGCTCACATGGCGGGCACCATTTCTATTGAATGTGTCACTATAATTTAAATAAATTAAAGAACCGCGTCTTGCCTCAATATTGAGCTAAAAATTCACGCTTTATCTTCTTACAAACTATTCATGTCTTCTGAATACAAAATCTAAAACTTTCTGCAAACATATTTGCTTTAATCAACATTTTAAATAGTTTCTTCTGAAAATTATTTACGTAATTTGAGCAACATATGAAGAAGTTAGTCTGATGTTCAACAATATTTCGAAAACTTGAACGCTAAATAATTGTCTGGTTTAGCTCCCAGATGTCAGCCAAAGATCACTCGAAAAAATCGCTCGGAATTTCAGGAATAAATTTTCATTGAGTTTAAATAATTCTGCAAGAATTTCTAAGAACATTAACTCAGGTTAATAGAATTTTTTATTCGCGAATACGATTTACGTGCCAAAATGTATAGTTTCCTAGCTGATACTGCAAGAAACTGAGTAGTGAATTATTTGTTCACGTTTTTTTAAATAAATGTTTGGACGTGACAACAAAACTTAGGCTGTCAGGTGTGGGGTTCGAACCCACGCACTCCTGAGAGTATCAGAGCTTAAATCTGACGCCTTAGACCACTCGGCCAACCTGACACGTTATCCTAACCCGGACTCCGCTATTTTACTTTCTTTTTTTTTTACCTTGTAATTCCATTCGCTTGCCTAGCCATTTTACTGTTAAACTATAATAAAATTCGTTTTGAAGTTTAGTTAACATGCATGTCTATTACCTGCTACACAACTAAAGTGACGATAGTCCTTGGCAAATAATAATGCAATCATGAAAGTATTGTTGACATGAAACATGTATGAGTGCAACAAAATGTGTGTAATACAGCGAGTGCAACACAATTAGTGCAACAAAGTGAATGCAACACAATGAGGGCAACACAATGAGTGCAACACAATGAGTGCAACACAATGAATGCAACACAATGAGTGCAACACAATGAGTGCAACACAATAAGTGCAACACAACGAGTGCAACACAATGAGTGCAACACAACGAGTGCAACACAATGAGTGCAACACAACGAGTGCAACACAACGAGTGCTACAGATGAAGAGCCGCCAGAAGTCGGGCCAGCGGGCAACTCGGCGGGCCAGCAGGCCCATAACTCGGCGGGCCAGCGGGCCCATAACTCGGTGGGCCAGCGGGCCCATAACTCGGCGGGCCAGCAGGCTCATAACACGGCGGGCCAGCAGGCCCATAACTCGGCGGGGCAGCAGGCCCATAACTCGGAGGGCCAGCGGGCCCATAACTCGGCAGGCCAGCAGGCCCATAACACGGCGGGCCAGCGGGCCCATAACTCGGCGGGCCAGCAGGCCCATAACTCGGCGGGCCCATAACTCGGCGGGGCAGCAGGCCCATAACTCGGAGGGCCAGCGGGCCCATAACTCGGCGGGCCAACAGGCCCATAACTCGGCGGGCCAACAGGCCCATAACTCGGCGGGCAACAGGCCTATAACTCGGCGGGCCAGCAGGCCCATAACTCGGCGGGCTGGGCAGCGGGGGGCTGCGGGCCAATGATCGGGTCAGGTCACGACTCTACGATTGAGTCATTAGCGGATGAGGTACGCACTCCGCCCTTGCGACCACGCATGGCCGGGGTATCGGCGGCCGGCCGTGATAAACCACTGGTTAATACGGAGCGATAATTTA